TGTCACTGGCTTAACTGGAGTGTTGGTTTTGACCTGATTTAGTGAAGCCCGTGAAAAAAAAAAAAAAAAAACCAACCAAAAAGCCAGTTGGACACACTTACTCAGGTTTAAAAGCCGGCTTCTTTCAGTTTATCTTAAACCAATTAGGAATGAAAAACAAGCCACTCCTAATCCAAAATAAGAGGGTGTCCCTCCCTGCCTCCGCCGCCCGCTCCCAGGGCTGTGTTGGTTTAGGGAAAGCGGTGGGATGCTGCCGGCGCGGGTGGGAAAGCGCTTCCCCGGGCAGGAACAAGGGCACCCGCGCATCCGTCCCGCCGCGGCTCCGCAGCCCGGCCGCTCTGGCAGCCGCGCTGGCATCGGCTCCCGCTCCCCGTATTTGTTTGTGGATGTGTGCGCAGGCAATATTGTGACTGTCAGAGACGTGATATTAAAACATTTACCCAAAATACCTCTGCCTGCTTTTCTCCTCCCCTCCTGCGTCCCCCTCCTCCTCCTTTTTTTTTTCTTCTTTTTTTTTTTGTGTGTGTGCGTGTGTGTCTAAATTCCCAATGTAGTGATGGAGGTCTTCACCCAGGAAAGGGTTAAGCGTTTTGAAAGGTCTTGTTTGAGGTAGAGTGAATTTTAACCACCACACACATAACGAATGCGAAACAGCCTGAATTGCTGGTGAGGAGCCAAGAGCACAAGAGAGGAGCTGCTGAATTTTAATGATTCATTATTGCATGGAAGGCCTTTGTCTTCCTTTATCCGGTGCACAATAAAAGAATTAATTGGACAGAAAATGGCAGGGCAAAGAACTGACAAGTCATTAAGGGGCTCTGAATGGCTGATTAGGTGCACATTGGGGGTGGAATTTCAACTGCACTGTTTCAGCAAGGGCTCCGGAATAATAATGGCATGGCACAGTTTATATTTTGTATGCAGTACCAGAAAGGCCTTTATGTCGGCATTGTGGTGCTATTTATTATGCTGTCTATTTAGCCATTGTTGGCATTGTGTTTGCAATAAGAATGCACAAACAAAGTTGGGATTTTTTTTTTTTTTTTTAACTTCACGAAGGCAAAATAATTGGGAATCAGAATCTCGCTCCGTGGATAGTTTTATTAATTTTTTTTGTGTGTGTCCAGAAACGGCAGTAAATATTTAGACTTGGGAGAAGTAGTTTCATTTAGAAAAAGGAAAAAGACTAATCAATTTCTCCCACTTCTCCCCATTCCCGAAGAGCCGCCGTTCAGGGAAGCCTCGTGCAGCTGGCGGAGCCCCCGCGAGCGATGGGGTGCTGACCACTTCCACACCCCGACGCCGGGAGGATGCGGCTCAAGGAAAAGCAGCCAACTGGAATTATTGGTAGCTAGGAAGTTCATTGAACATCTCGCACACGGATCCTTTGAGGCGGCTTCTGCCAAAGTTTCGTTGTTGTTGTTGTTGATGTTAAGCAGTTGCCTGTGAGTTATAATAAAAACCACACACACAGAAGGGAAAGAAAGAATTAAAAAAAAATAAATAATCCCAACACGTTGGGTAGGTGTGATTTTGAGGAGGAATGCACTTTTTTTAAAGAGGATAACGAATAGGAAGAGCAGTTTACTGTCAGGTCTGTACATAGCTGGTTGAAAGTTTCAGGGGGGAAAAAGGAAACTTTAATGAAGATACAGATTTTTTTTTTTTTTTCCCTGCAAGTGATTCATGACAGCCTGATGAAAATAGAAAGCTGTCACCTTCACGTAACCTAGAGATTTTCACATGACAAAAATTACATTTTAAATTCTGCTCGAAAGCTCACAGAGGCTAACGTCAGTTCAGACAACCTCCCTCCTGCCCTCAGGATGCCGCCCGACCTCGCTGCTGTTTGATAACCAGATGCAAGACGCCCTCCGCCTCCCGAATCCCCAGCAGAGAACACCCCTCCGCCTGCCGGGTACCGGGGACCTGCGCTCCTGCATCCTCACTGCCGGCCGAGGAGCTGCACGGTGCCAGGGATGGACCTCGTATTTCCACAGAATAGAGGAGCAAAAGCCACCGAGCGCTGATGCACCTTGTCCAGCTGCCCCTTGCAGCCTGCCTGAATCCTCCTGCTGGTTTCTTCTGGAGGAGCTGGGATGAACTGGGATTGATTGGTCCCAGCTCACATGGGCGGCATGGAGTTGCCAGGTCTACCTTTAGCATCCCGAGCCACACGCCGTCCCTGTCCCCTTCTCCTTCCATCCCAGGAGCTCAGGTCGGGGACATTTTAACACCACGTGCATCACCGCTGTCTGGTTGGGATTAGCTCACACACTCACATCCTTCAGAAAATGACCTCTCTGGTCCTGGCTGGAGGAAACAGCAGGGAGAGTTTGGTTTTCTCCTCCTCCGCAGCCTTTGGTCCCTGGTTTTCCTGTCCTGGTGGGCTGAGGGCAGAGGGAGTATCACCCCCGAGATGACGCCCAGAGCGTGCTGGGGCTGCCCACCAGGCGCTGGAGAGAGACCCGGGGTGGGAAGGAGAAGGGACCCCTCCACCGGTAACACTGAGGTGTCCCCCACAAAGCCCTTTGCAGAGGGAGGTTGCCGAGAGAAAGCAGGTTTGGCAGCCTCCCGTTTGCAGACAATTCTCCCCAAGACAGCCACCCAAACTGATATATCCACACAGACATCCCGTGCCTCCGCTCAGGGCCTGGCCCTTTCTCACACTTCTCTCTTTTTTTCTTTTCTTTTCTTTTTTTTTTTTTTTTTTTTCAGGGGTAGTATGGGCTAATAACGGGTTAATGATATATATATAAATTTGAAAACGTGAGAGGGGATTTGGGTGTCAGGGAGATGGATGAGCTGCAATCTGAAACTTTTTAGGTAAGAATAAGTGAAAAGGAAAATGGGGTTATTACAAAAAAATGCCATTCTCTGTAGAATATAGCCCTTCTGTAATAATATTTTAAGAGGTAGTTAGTGGCACTCTTCATTCGGCAAAGTAAAGGTATGCATGTCAAACAAAAATAAAATAAAATAATATAAAAAAAAAGAGGTGGGAAGGTAGCTTGTTCCACTGGAAATTGTAATGTTCCTCCTGAGACTTCAGCTTCTTAACACTGTGAAAGGAGGAAAAAAGAAATATACTGCCATTTGCGCTCCTCCGTTCGCGCTGCGGCTGGGAAGGAGGCGAAGGGAAAAGCTGTTATTAGCGACAAGGGGTGCATCGGCCGGGGAGTGCCGGCGGCTGCTGAGCTGGGAAACACCACCACCACTTGCTCTGCCACCAAAGATGACTCTCGTTGTAATCCTCTTGGCATCTCAGCCCCTGGAGCTGAGCCGTGAGTCACCCACGAGCTATTCCAGACCCACGAGTCACCTCTTCCTGCAAACACCTCCTTTTCCTAACAAGGAGGATTTAATGCAACCCCCTAAATGAGACCCTCTGTAGGTGGGCAGTAGTTTCCCAGGCTCTCGAGGTCCCCCAACGCTTGCTCCTGCCCCTCTGAGGTTCTCGCTGCCCCGAGGCCACCTGAACCCCAGAAGTTCTGTTGGCTTTGAGAGCCTCTCCTGGTCACCAGATGGAGATGAGGATAAAGCTGGACCCAAACGGACAAAATTCAGGCAGGAATCCAGATATTCTCAACATTTGGGAGAAATCAGATCTGCGGAGGAGGAGCTTGGAGCGACGTCTGTCAGAATGAAGTCAGGTGAGAGCTTCAGAGACAGATTCCGACCATCCCTTAAGAGCTGTGTGTTCAAGCCCTGGAATAGTTGGCTGAAATCCGTGCCTGGTGATGGGATACAGAGAAGTTAAAAACGTATCTAAAACACTTAACAAAATTCCCAGATGGAAGCAAGTTTATTTTTTTAATGAAAATAACTTAACAAAACATCCGAGTAGTAGATGTTTGTGTTCTATTTCTGGGAATGCAGGAAAGATCCTCTGAAACCCCCTAGAAAAAAAAAAAAGAAAAAAAGAAAAGAAAAGAAAAGAAATGCTAAAACAATCAGCCCCAAACTACATAGATGCAGATTTGTTTGGAAGAAAGAGGGAAGATGGAAATATCTGCACTGGAAGAGAGCAAAGGTCTGTCTCAGGAGTATCCTGCAAAGGCACATGTAGGTTTGCCATGCAGGAACAAACAAAAAACCTCTCAAACTGGGGAAACAAACAGGGCTTGTATAAAATAGCCCTTCCCCTGGTCTCTGCCAGCCTCTGGCAATCAGCGATTGCTGTGAGACACTTGCGTTGCCTCAATGCTATGCCTAGAAGTTGAATATTTTCCACGAATTTGTCTAACCTTCCTTTGAACCCAGCTCTGCTCTTGGCCTCCGCCTGTGGCAGAGCTCTGCGGATGAACCGTTTGCTCCGAAAAAAAAAAAAAGAAGTCTTTCTTTTTATCAAGTTTCAGCTTTCTGTTCAACTACCGTACCATGAGACACACCAGGTGATGGCAAGAATAATCAGTCTCCCTTCCCTTTCTCCTTTCCCCATTTGGTACTTCACTGCCTATACCAAAAGACCTCAGTCTGGGCTGGAAAGAGCCAGCTAGAAGCAAATAACGTATTTCAGCTCCAAGCCTAAAATATCCACCTTGGGCAGAATTTTGTCCCTGTCGCTGACTCCACGTTGGGGCCCGATACACTCCTGGCACTGATGCTGGTGACATTTGTCTCATCCCAGGGTGAAAAATGGACTTTAAACATGCTTTAAAAGTCAGGGTTTTCTGGCTTCTGAGCAATAAATCCCACTTTTGGGCTCATGCCTTCCAAGTGATAAATTTCTAGAATGCTGGGAAAATACACTCCAGGGAAAGCAGACAAAGAGGAAAAGGCTGTAGCATGGCTTGGAATGACATTTGTGTCTCGGATGGTGAGGAAGCCCGGACAGGACTGTTGTAGACATGCCTGCGGGAAGGAAGGACAGTCCCGGTGGAGCAGTTGGAGCTTTCTAAGGGAAAGGCAGGGAGAGCCGGGGCTGGACTGCCACCGGAGACTGGGAACGGGACAGCCAGATCCCAGTCCAGGTGATGTCTTCTCATCCTGCCCAGGCTCGGGGCACCCTGGCTCACCTGGGAATTGCCATTTCAGGAGGCTGAGACCCACGGCGCATAAGATGCTCCCTCATCCCCTCCCATGGGGACAGCTGAGCTCTCCCGCAACCCACCTCCCGTGGGCTCGGGGGATTTTATGAGGTTTCAGGGCCACCCAGCCCAAATCCCAGGACACAGATTTTGAGCCTTAAATGGCTCAAATGGCATCTTTTGGATTTTCCCTTTTGCCTAATTACAGGGATTTATTTTTATTACCACTATGGGCTTGTTCCAAAACCCAGTCGGCTCAGCAGAAGGCTTTCACAGGCTTTTGGATCAGACCTAGGCACTCGGTGTAGTTTTTCCTATAACAAATTATCTATTATTTGCTGGTTCTCATTTAATTATTAAACAGAAGCTGCAGATATTAAGCTTCCAGGTGCCTTGGGGTCAAGGACAAGATTCCCATTGCCTTCAGGAGGTCCCTGGATTTCACTCCGGCTCCCGACACAGCGGCAAGTTCCCAAACTGTGAAAAATGGATCCGTGTCGTTATGTTACAGGTCCAGTCCACCGTGTTTGGAGCCAAATAGTCATAACAGTCAGACATACTGAGATGGAGTTTGGCCAGCATTTCTGCAGGCCAGCCACAACCGAGAGCTTAAAGCACTTCTGCGTATAACATCTGCTTTACCTTCTTGGGAACGGTACTCGCCGTGCCTCTAATCGCCTCAAACATCATTGCTGAACATGGGGATTAGGAAGGATTTGAGGCATCTGCTCCCTTGTGATCTGAGCTTCAGTTCTCTCAGGGTTTTGGAAAGGTGAGAAACTCTGCTGCTTTCACCTTGGTTAAAACCCTTGAATATTCTTGAAAAGTGTAGAAAATGAAGATATTACTTGTCTTACTATTCTCGCGGCAGTTTTTCTAGCTTGAGGCATATCCCATGGGATACCTTGGGTGAGAGCAGGCAGAGGACCCCACCGAGCATGCAAGGATGCTGTTTAGGATTCAGAAACCTTTTAATTCCTTTAACACCATTGAGTTTTGCCATGGACTCTGTTGGAGACTGCATGACCTTTGGAAACAGGCTTTGCCTCTACCTTAAACACTCAAAAAGTCGCTCTTAGTGTGTATCATCCTATATACGTCCATCATGCCGTGGGCTCACCTGAGCCCAGAAATGCTCTTTTCTCCCCAGCCCTAGAGGACTCCCCATAGGTTCCCCTATTGCAATGGAGCTCACGGAGAGAAAAATTCCTACAGCTCTGTCTTCATCAGGGGTTATCTGATGCTGTCTAACCTCAGGTGGACTCCGATTTGAGCTAGATTTGCTGGATTGCAGGAGGTGGGATGTGAACTGCTGCTGCCCAGACCGATGGTAACTGAATGCAACGCATTTTCCCACACTGAAAATAAGCAATTTCTGACTGAAGTGCTGACTTGCTCTTTGAGTTGAATGCTCGACTATTCTCTGTAGGAAGAAGCGTTCATATACAGGGATTTCAGAAGTAACCAAGTCCCGGAGTAAAATCTTCACCCTCGGGACACCTGTCCCTCCCTTAGAAATGTAATTCAGTGCCATTTCTGTAGGTGTAAAGCTCTATAGCGGCAGTTAATATATGCATACTTCTGGGTTCCTTCATTACCATTTCAGTTGGCTCGTTTACATAATAACACAGAACAGAAGATCATTTGCATAAAATTAAAAAAAAAAAATCAAATAACTGAATGTTGCTTTTATTTTGAAAGGCGCAGAGAATGAGCCTGTGAAGTTATTTATATCCCCGAAAGTACCAAGGAGGCTAATCGGCAGGGAACCGTGCTTTCTGCACAAAATGGGACTTGACCACTTCAATTTATTCATGAAATATTAGCTCACTTAGTGGAAGAGTTTTTTAAGCAGCTGGGTTGGAGCTGACGGGAAATCCCCTCCCAGCTGCAGCGGGATCAGCACGACTCGCAGCCAGACAAAAGTAAATTCCCTCAGCTCCGATCCCGCGCAGCACCTGAAGGGGCTGGGGAACGAGGGCTCCGCTCCTTGGTTACCGTCGGCGCGACAGAAATATGCCATTCTCTTCCAGCACTTCTGCCTAACGGCCATTTACCTAATCTGGGGGTTTTACACCCGCCCCCTCCCCGGTGCCGTGATGCTCAGACACCTTCATCTACAACGAAGAGCAAAGCTTCTCCCGGGTTCATTGTTGTGTCCTGATTTCTTCTGCTCCTCCCAACTTCCATGGTCAAATATTCCCATATGAGCAGCCCTTGGCCATCCCATCTGATGGGTTAATGTTGCCGCCGGGATAACAGCAGCAATTTGGTTTTGCAGCGAGCAGAGTCACCACCGGCAGAATACACCCTCGGGTCTGAGGGGCAGGGAAAGCCATGTACCAGGTCTCAGCACGGACAGACGTGGCCATGTGGGTTACGTGGGGGAAACGTGAGACTGAGAAGTAAAACACAGACTAATTTGGTATTCAAGGCGTGTGCAAAATGGCCATATTTGCATGAGAAAGGTTGGTTGGGAGAAATCCTGGGCCAAATCCTATTTTCACTTAGAAGCTTCCAAACATGCAGCATCTTTCCTGACACCAGGAATAGTACTCCAGGTTTGCAGAAGGGTAATGAGAGCTGAACCTCACCCAAGAGTACTCAAAGTCTATGAAGCACCGGGCTCTTTATTACGGCAACTCCTGGCGAAACCATCACCAAAATTAAACTATAACCTCCTGTAACAAGCTGGCCCCTGCATTTTTAACAACGGTGCAAATCCTTCTGTAGATTACTGGGGGGAGCAATGCTGCGCTTGGCAAGTTCATGCAGCGCAGATGGCCTCAAGGTTGGAAACATGACCCTGAACTACCTCCTCTATCTGTTCTTTGGAGACCAGCTCTGGACCGTGGGAGCACTGGGGCAGAGGGACAATGGGACAATGTTTGTGCCGGGATGTCCCTGTCCCACAGCATGATGCTCTGAAACAAAGTCCTAGCGCAAGCATGTGAGCAGCTGCCCTCCGCCCCCCCGGTACGCCAAAATGAATATGCATTGTTGGGCGAGGGTGTGGTGGGTTTCAGCACACTGAGCCTGCCAAACTTGGACTTCTGCCCCAAATATTCACATGGCCTTAATAATTTTGTTCCCCATTTCTCATACTTCTCCAGGCCCTCACCAGGGCTGTAGCGGCTCCTCTGTGCTGCCGGCAGTGCAAGATTGCCCATGGTGGAGCTCCATGTGGCCACCCCGGCCAGGTGTCTCTGGGTTGAACCGTTGTTCATAAGGAGCCATGTCCTACTGTTCCATGGAAAATCCCCCAGCAGAGCTGGGGTGGGAAGGAAGAGAGGTTCTGCACAGTCCCACTGCCAGTCCTTCAGCACGAGCAAGATTTGGGAGGGCAAGATCTCCTCTTCTGATCCCCTTGCCCCACAAACGCTGTATGCCCATGAGGAACCTCAGCTCAGAGATCTTTTACTTTTGTGCTTGGTCCAGAGCCCCGGTGGTGGATCACACTGATGGGTGGCACCTTGAAATCTTGCTCCCAGAAGCCTGGAAGAGCATGTGCAGGGAAGATAATACACAACTTTGGGATGGGCTGGATGTTGACATTCTGCCCATCTCCAGCAGCATGAGCACAATGTCTGTGCTGCATCTGTTCCCTCTTTCAGGTATCTGCTCCTCCTGTGGGGCAGCAGAAGACTGCAGAATGAGCTGGAGCCAGGAACTGGGGCATTTGATGAAAAGGGAGGTGATGCTCCTGAGGGTCCTACAACATTGCTCTTGCAGAGAAAATGAGGCCCCAGCTATTTGTGATGTTTCTTTGTGACCTCTACTGAATATTCAGAAGGGAAAAGCTTTGACTTCACCAGTTGCACTGGGATCCCTGCGAGGGACTCCCATTAGCACCTAGCGGGGATGTCCCCTGTGCCGGTACGCATTGGATGGGTCTTCTCCAGGTTCCTCCATCCCAGACACAAATTGAGCCGGGGGGAATCCATAGCAGAATTTCACAGCTCACTGTTTTAATAAACGTCTGGAAAACGCAGAGTAAAATTGAGTTAGGACCTTTCCAATACACTAATATTTTGGAACACATGGACCATGCATATGGGAATAGTCCTGGCCCAGAAAGCATGGGTAAGACCCAAATAGCTCCAAGAGACGGCTCTCTGAGCGCTGCTTGGAAGCTGCATTCAATAAAGGGTGATCCCTTGGAGCTGAGGAAACAGGACAACCAGCCTGCTGAGACCCGGCCTCGCTGCGGAGGATTTCAAGGCCATTGGCAAGTGCTGTTCCATGATACAGGACAGATGCTCTGCCCGCTAATAACGAGCAAAATAGCTAGGAACACTGCTAATTGCCAAAATGTAAACTCGCTTCTGTGGTTTGCGACTCCCTCTTCAGCGGAGGCTGCGGATGGCATGAACTCTCCTCTGCTTTACACGCGCGTCGCGGCCACGGAAAGCAAAGTGACGTGTCCGTATGGCAGCCGGCTCAAACCCCCGAAGCAACGCAGGGGGAAGCGCCTGCCCGAGAGTCAGCGTTTTACTGCGGAGAGCTGAAGATTCGGCCAAGCTCCCCGGGCGCTCCCCGGGCTTTGCCCCGGAGAGGCATAGCTGGGCACTGAGCATCGCCCTGTGCGCGCCCGGCTCTGGGAACCCTCTCCTGATTTGCAAGGGAAATCATGGGTAAATAATCCTCATTACCCGGGGAGGCTGCCCCCTTCCAGATCAAGTTCACTTGTTATTCTGATCAGCCGATAAGCCTCATTTGCATAATTTTTTCTTTCTTCCACACTCTGGCTTCGCTAGCGCAGTTAGAAGGGGGTTTTATTACTCTTATTAATATTATTACTCTGTGTGATCCTCCCGCCCGAAGGGTTTGCGAATGCCTTCACGCCTGCTGGGGGCTGCGGGTGGCCGTGGGTGGGCTGGGGGCTCTGGGCGCGGGGGGGCTGTGCTTTTGCTCCCCCTCGGTGCTTCCTGCAGCCCTTCACTCAGGGCTTTGCTGGCTGAGAACGCCACAGCTCGCCACAGGAGCTGCCCAGGCCCACAACCAGGGTAACAAACAGGGGAGCGGTTGTTTTTGAGGACCCCCTTGGAGTTATTCCTAGCTGCTTGACCACTCCGAGAGCAAAGGGGCCTTTTTTTTTTTTTTTTTCTGCTAGTGTCTGCTTTTTCTTTTCTCTGAGGAGGGATGCTGGAGACAAAACACAGGCACAAGGAAAGGTGAGATGAAATGGTCTCTGCTGATGGTCAAGCAGCCCGCTGCCCGCCTTCTTGCTCTGGCCAGACCCAGGGATCTTCTCCTGAAATAAGTCACCCCTGCAACTTTCATTCATTTTTAAAAGATGATCACAGCTGAATCATGTCAGTGCCTACAGAGGAGACAAGGAAGGAAAATGCCCCCTAATGTTGCTGACTGAAGCTGGATCCTGCCTTGGATGAGAAGGCACCAATACCCCATCCCCATCCCCATCCCCATCCATCCCCATCCCTATCCCTATCCCCCATCCCCATCCCCATCCCCATCCCCATCCCTCCCCATCCCCATGCCCATCCCCATCCCCATCCCTCCCCATCTCCATCCCCACCTCCATCCCCATCCCCGTCCCTATCCCTATCCTTATCCCTATCCCTATCCCTATCCCTATCCCTATCCCTATCCCTATCCCTATCCCCATCCCGCTTAGGCAGTGCCTACCCGTTTGCCCCCCCGCCACCCCAAGCCAAGGGCTGCAGCGTGGGCAGGCTGGCATGGTGCAAGAGATGGCATGCAGACGAGATGCAAAAGAGAGGGGCACTGATTTGCATCATTTGCTCCATGTAGAGTCTGTTTGGAACTGTACCAGGGTGGGAGGGAATCGTTTTACTGCTCTCTTGGTGGATATCGATGTCCCTGCTGCTGGGCCCACAGGGGATTTCTGGATGTAGAGTCTGAAGGACAAGGACCTTAAAGCTCGGACTGTTCAACTTGTTATAATCTTGTTCCTCTTTGTGTGAATGCAGTTGCATCTGTCACAATTAGCTGGCTAATTTTTTTTTTCTATTAATTACACATTGCCTCTGTGAAACTATCTGCGTTTCAGCTGATTAATATACTCTCCCCTTTCACTCCAGAGCTCTGCATCCCCTCCAGCTCCTGCAAACTCTGCGGTCCCTCACCCTGCCGGAGCTGTGCTGGTGTAGGGGCTCGTCAGCCCCCCAAAACCAGCTCTCTCATGGCTAATCCCAGCATTTACAGAAGTGGCTGCATTTTTACTGGGCGCGATGCTGCTGCTTTACGTAACGGGGCAGAACTTTTCTGCCTGTAGCGAATAAAACCCTTTGGCCCGCGGTCCCAGCATGTTATCGGAAAGGTCCCTTCTGCCAGCAAGCCCTCAGGAGGGTGCTGGATGGTGTCCCTGGGGGGGTGTCCCTGGGTTTCTGCCGGACCGAGGGGTTCGGGCAGCGCCGTGGGAGCCAAACCCGGCGCAAGCGGGGCCGGGGCGGCGGCGGGGCCGTCACTCGCGTCTCTCGGGCTCCTCCTGAAGGAGACAGCCCCGTGTAGCCGCAACCGCAGCGGGAGCGTGGCACGGATGGCTCCTTGATCGCCCGCAGAAAGTGGGGTGGCTTTGGATGGGGTGAAAGCTGAGTGCGAAGGGAACACGGAACCGATCCTGCTCTCTTCTTACTCGCGTTATCCCTTCCCACCGCAGCTCCGTCGGCACCACGGCATCCGCCTCCCAGTTCGGCCGAAGGCGGCACAGCCGTGAGCTGAGGCTCCGGGGGGGGGGCTGTGCTGTGGCGTTGGAAGAACCAGCCACGGGCCAAAACGTAGACACTGTTCTTACAATGCTTCTCCATGCAGGCAGCAAGACCAGAAAGCCATCCTTTGAGAGCGGGAGGGAGAGGTGGGCTCTCACCCGCGGGTCACAGCCCTGTTATTTAATCTCCTTGCTCCCAGGGGCGTGAAATTTGTACCCTGGGCTTGGATTTTGTATTCTGCTGCCATCCTCCGACTCCCAAATCTTGACAGTGGTAATAAATATCCCCCCCTGCTTTGCTGTGAAGAGGTTTCCCGCTCAGTCTCAGCCCGAGCCGGGGCGCGGAGCTGGTTTGAAAGGGTGACCCGCTGTGCCGGGTTGCTCCAGGGCTGCCGAGCCCTGGATGCCCTCGCTGTCCCTGCTCCCTGCCAGACCTCTGACAGAAAAAAAGACTGGCACAGAGCTGGGAGGTGGCTATTCATTCTCCAGCCAAGGCACAGCCCTTTTTTTCTGGGACATATATTTTATGTTGCTTTGTCCTATTTTTCTGTGGGATAGGCTGCTGCAATGGGAAGGCAAGACCACGGCTGTAAGGGAATAGGCAGCTATGAGGCAAAAGGGATAGATGCTCAGGAAGGCAGCAGCTCCCAGTGGGCAGAAATCCCCAAACTTACACTCAACTCGGGCTGAGGGAGGAGTATCAGCCTGGCAAACAGCTCCTGTGTGGCTGTTGGGAGAAAATTGCAGTGCAGTGATGTGCCCACCAAGGACTTAAAGCGTGACAGATTTCCTCGGCTTCCTGGGGACAGGCACGATGGACACTTATGTTATTGTTTGCATAGGTTGCCTGAAGTGAATCACATCCTTGGGTTCCGAAATAGCTGTGGAGGTTTCTCCCTGGGGACTCAGTCACCCCAGAGAGGAAACAGGAAAACAACTAGCTAAATATTAAGCGTACGTTTTAACGTGAAACCCAAAAGAGAGCACTCAGGGCAACACATTTCCCCCATATACCCACCCAGTGTGGAATGAATGAAAAAGTTATTTCCAGACATCCTCAGCAAACAAAAGCCTACCCAGTAGTTAAATTTTCCCCCTAAACTCTTTAATGCTTCTGCAATCTAAGGAGATGGGCTTCATGGTTACTTAGTCTGGGTTAAAAGTCTGTGTTTCCCTAGCTGAAGTGGATTTAAACAGTGAATTATTATTAGATACGTTGTTGACTATTTCAGGGCACCAAACATCCCGACACTACAGGTCACATACCTGCAGCATACTTCCCTCCGAGCATCCAGAGCTCATTCCCCGTGAAACCTATGGCACAAGCAGGCCTGAAGATCTTCAGATCTTTGCTCAGCCCAATGCTGTGAATGGTCCCGAGACCGCTCACAGTACAAATCCCAGTTTCCCATGAGATGCTGCTCATGTCTGTGTTAAGGGAAAGGGCTGAACCCAACCCTACTAAGCAGCGGGGACTTTGCATGTGAGGAGATAGGACAGGTACAGCGACCAGAGAGACTGGTCAGGAGCCCAGACTCACCCGGCTCCAGCAACTCCAGCTGTGAGGACCTTCTCTGAAAGCATGAGTCTCCAACACGGAGGGATGCATGGGCTCTGCTGAAATCGGAGGTCTTAAAGCACTGAAAAAAGATAGTTGAAACTTTTAATTTGAAAATAATGTTGTGGCCGAGGCATAGCCTTCGGAAGATGTGGGGGCAGCTCCCCCCAGATCTGCATCCCACAAGCATGGCTCGGCGAGCACGTCCCCTCTGCCACCACCCCTCGGCAAGGCTCTCCATCTCTCCTGCCATACAGCACCGAGCGCTACGTTTTATTTGCGCTGATCCCAGAAATCATCAGTTTGCTGCAGCCTTTCCCTGGGAGAGCATCGGCTTCACGTCCCCATTTCTCACCGAGAGCATGTGGGGCCGTTAGGGCTTTCCTGAATTCTTCCTTTCTGGAAGCCCTTTTTCTCTTAGGTGACATTAACTGAGAGCTCTGTCACTCCACCCCACTTTAATGATTTCCTCTGGAACATTTTGTGTTCAATAAACTAGTGTGTTCCCCGTCTGAGGTGAATCTCCTGCAAAGAGAAGGAAAAAAAAAAAAACCCAACCCAACAACCCCGTCCTGAGCAGACTGCGCGCTTGTCGCCAGCGCCTGCCACCCTAATTACGCCGTGGAAGAATGTGCACATGGCAGAGGTCCCTGAACATTTCAGGCAGGATATTGCCTGCTCCTGGATGCAGCCTTTTTCGCCGCTGCAATAACATTTGCTATAATAAGCTGCGACTCCGTTTCGGGGAAGGCGTGAGCGCGGCGTAGACGTTTTGGCCCCGCTGCTCCCCTTGCGCGGAGATGGCTGGGGGCGGCAGCGGGGCTGCGGACTCATCTCCCTGTGGGCATTGACCCACCGTGCTTGGGGGGGGCTCTGCACGGAGGAACCCCCACCATGGTGTGGGGTTGGATCGGCAGGGAAAAGGGGGAGATGCCCCGGTGGTGCTAAAGGGGTGTATTGCTCTCCTGCCTTCCCCCATGGGGTCAATTCAGGCTGGGCAGCCGGGATGGCTCCAGGCGGCTGCTGGGGCTGCAAATCGTCCTTTTTGGCCTCCAAGTTTTGTGCCAGAGCCTGGGCAGGCGCCCTGTCCTCCCAGCTGGGCAGCCAGCCCAGCCTCCTCCTCCAGCCTCCTCCATCCTGCTCCCGGCAGCTGGGTTCCTGCCCGGCTCTGCCTACCTGGGACACGGCGCCGGGAGCGGAGCATGACTGCCATGCAGTCCTCCTTCCTTTTGCAAAGCTGGTCCTCTCCCTGCCAGGCT